GAGGAGGAGGTGGAGGAACACTTTCTTCACACATTCATACAGATACAGACTTTTTACACATTGCAGCAGGTCTCTTTTTATTGTTTTTTAATCGGAGTCAGATTCAGGAGAGGCTACCGGAGCTTGCAGGGTTAACTCCTCTTGTTCCATCCTTTGTTTTTTGGCAGTTGGTTTCTTGAAAAACATATCCCAGGTGGTCTGTTTCTCTCTCTTCTTCAACACCTGTCGGAAATAACGGGAAAGAGTGTTATTGTAGAGATCATTGATCCTATTAGTCTCAGCTCTGTTTGGATATTGAGTGTTGGCAAACTCCTGAACCTCTCCCCATTTGACAAGGAAGTTTTTCTCAACTTTCACTTTTTCTGATGATTTCTTGCTATGTTTCAATTGAAATCACCTTTCTGTTTTTTAGAAGCCATGATTTGCACAACACTTGAATAAATGTAAATACCCTGCATTGAGGTAATGTACGTAATAAACAAGAGAGCAAGTTGAATTCCAACGGGAGCTCTGTACTTCAGATATACTAATAATATATTCTAATAATACTAATATATTGTAAAAATAGCATATTGTCATTGGCAACGGCAAAAGAGTGGAAACATCATTCGCACTTGTTCGTAGAAAGTCCGTTGTTCGCCTCACGTAACTGCCGAACGGAAAGTCCGTTGTTCGCAGCCAGTCCGTTGCTCGAGTTACGTAACGGTCAAACAGAAAATCCGTTGTTCGCAGCGTCCGTTATTCGAGGCGTACGTTATACGAGGCACCACTGTATTTGAAAATATCAATAAAACAGTTCGGATTTGATTTCACTTTATTTAAAAGTTACATTTAAATTAGATAGATGTTTTTAAAAGTTTATTTCAAATTAAAGTTTCAAATTAATATTAATAATGATCAATTGCATGTTTAATTATGGCGAAACCGGTTTCTATGTAAGTGTTATAAGACACGTGAAAAAATCCGGAAAACTCCACGTGACCAGTTTGTGTTCAGTAGTTTTATAACGTTATCAAGGTTATTTATAATGTAGTTTCAAAATGCAAGGCCAACTATCAAAGTAGTTAACCTTGTATTATAATGAGATTCGCTGAAATACAAGGCTGAGTCATTATTAAAAGTTACCATGTACAGTACCTGTCTGCAAAGTAGTTTTAAAACACGTTTTATCTAAAATAATAAAGATATTAAACTTTTATACAATAATATATTATTAACAACTCGGATGTAGGCCTATGTTATTTTTATGAACATTAATACTGTTTTCTAAAGCGAAAAGTGCCAATTTTCTTCTTCTTATTTTAGTGAAAAGCTTCTTTATTAACCATTATTTATAAGCATATTTTTATATTATTAAATGTAAATTATCTGATATTGAAAACTAACAATTCAAATATACTTAACTTCATATAATAATGTGATGTCATGCAAACTCACAACAACACCAGCCATTATTCCTCTTGTATGTTCTACATTTGATTTGACAACTCGATAAGTGTTCCAATAAGAACCAGGTCTCTTCTAGCAGTTCGTACTTGTTTATTATTGTTTCTGGTTGTCAAAATTCTCGAAGAATGATGCGTTCATCTTGAACAGATAGAAATGGGGGTGTCCAGTATTCTTTTTTTTCCATATTTTTCACGGATTTTAAAATATCAATCGTAAAATCAGCAGCTCCTCCTATTTTCTATGTTTACTGATTTATTGATATTCCAGTTTTAAAAAAGCTTTAAAAAAATTTACAATGATATGTGAACTAATTAATCAAACGATAATCCCAAATTCATCGGGTCTTAACCTGTCTCATTAAATATAAAGTGTGAGTAATTTGGTCTAGAAATAGGTGATTAAGTTTCCATCTTGCATCGTTTGATTACTTTATAATTTCGGGTTTAGTTTACTGTATAATTATATAAATTAATATTTAAAGATATATACACAAACTAAAAATTACTAAATGTAATATTAAATATTTTTTTGTTATTCTTAAAAATATTTGTTTATTGCTTTCTTTTTATTTAATTTAGAGTAATTTACTTTATATATTTAAAATATTCTGATTTAAAATTTATTATATAGTTTTAAATGCATTAAGAATGCATTTTTGCCCACCAGTAACTGAGTAGATAAAACCGTTAAACACTGGTAACTAGTTGATCGTGAGTTCGTGACTCGCCAACGGGCTGACCAAATGGAGTTTTCCGGGTTTTCTTTACTTTAGTAACACCTAAATAGGGACAAATTTCCCTTAAAAGATCTTCCAGGAGGCTTCTCCCCTTGGCAGATCGCTCATGTTTTCGCGGTCGCGGTATATTGTCAAGTGTAAATCATTTATGTTTATTAGTTTTTATAACAAAAGAGTGCTCAACTGGAACGAACGCCTACAAAATAAAAGTTAGTTCAGAAGTGTTAAAAACTGTCTTGCTCTACCTCAATTGTTTAGGTCGTTTTCCAATCATTAACAGAGTGACCTATTAATACATATTGTCAGAAATTTATTGTTTTTAGAGAAGCACATTGAATGAAGCCCCAATATAACACAGATTAAACAAATGCTCGCCTTCCCTTGAAATTGGAGGTGATGGAAGATAACATGGCTTCTCAAATGGAACCTTTGGAAGCAAGCCTGCAGTAGCTATGCGGTTACATATGAAGACTAGTAAAGTTCAGGCTTCTACATTAATGTCGGCTATTGGACCGGCGGCAGCATTGATCTACAATACATTTGATTTATCAGAGGTAGAGCAGAATAACGTGGATGCCATTAACACTAAATGAAGCCATTGATATTTATCACGAAAGTGACTAAAGGAAATGAATATGGCTTCTGACACTAACGAGAGAGAAATAATGCTCATTAGGAATTCTAAAATGATAGTTTCAAGTAAATTTAATAATTAAACGATGTTGCGGATGTGGGATATCGTACGTCTTTAAGTTCCCTGCGTTTAATGTTAATTGCAAGGTTTGCAATAAGAAAGGACATTACTCTCGGCAATGTAAAAATAAAGTGAAGCAGAAAACGAAAACTTATAAGAAAGCCGTATACGAAACTCTAGAAGTTTATGAACATAATAGTGTTGATAAATCAAACAACTACTCGTATGACACCGTTTATGTTAACAGAGTATCGGCAAATGAACAGAGAGCTTGGTTTACAATGCTAACATTTAAAAACGGATTAGCCGGATTAGCCGTAAATTTTAAATACTGGTGTCGAAGGTAATATCACAGCAAAGTTGGCAGAAAACCACAGGTACCTATTCTAACATAAGGAGACTGAGAACTTTTAATAATGGGAGAGGCACAGGTCAATTGTACTATTCAAAACAAACCGGTTAAACTTCGATTTATAATAGTCAAAGGAAATTTTAGCTGTATCCTGGGTTGCTCCAAATGTGAAAAGTTCGGTCTAGTGATGCTAAATAAAGAATGCGTCGAAGTTAACGAAATAGGAATTAGTTTTCCACAGTTTCAGGGTATAGGTTTGTCAAGGACTGAATATGATATAGAACTCCAAGAGGGAGCAACTTTGAAGATACATCCCTCTAGAAGAATGCCGATACCGTATATTATTCACGAAATAGTTAAAAAAAAAGATTGGCTCTATGATTAAGATGAAAATCTTGAAACTAGTAACACACCCAGCCCCTGCAGTTAATCCATTAGTGGTCATGAAGAAAGGGGAGAGAATACGCTTGTGTATGATCCGACAGATATCAATAACGCGATAAAGCGATGCCATTTTCCGCTTAAAAAAGTTGAATAAATAGTAGCTCGAGTGGAAACTGCCAAGTACTTTACAGTTTTAGATGCAAAAAGGGATTTGCAGCTTAGTGTATAAGCAAACATCAGGCTTATTGGCTTTCAAAAATGAGTACTATTTGGTTTTGCCTCAACTTGTTGGAATATCTCAGGTATTCCAACAAGTCGTACATTCAATTTTGAGTGATTTTGAAAATACTGAATGTTCGATGGACGACATCTTGTTATCGGTAAATACAAAGCATGAATTAAGGAAGTTAACACTAAAAGTCATCAAATGACTCATTGACAAAGGGCTTAAGTTAAATAAAGAAAAATGTGAATTCGAAAATGCTAGAGTCACGTCTTATGTCATATTTTTACGTCTAATGGCATTGAAATAGATCCTTCTAATATATTTTAGAAAGATCTATTTCAATGCTATTGGACATCACAAAACTCCCATCTGTCTCAAAGAATTACATAGATTTCTGGGAATGGTAAATTACGTGTCAAAATTCATACCAGACTACTCTATACTCTCTGAACCTTTACATAGACTTCTACAGAGAAATACTTTATGGGAATGATCTGCTAAGCAAGAAAATTATTTTTTAAATTAAAAGAAGTTTTATAGAATACGCCAAATCTGGCTTACTTTGAAACAAATAAATAGTAGTTTCAGTTGATCCCATGCAGAAGGAGCAGTACTTTATGAAAACGGCAGGCCAACGGCAACTAAGACATTGACAGAACCGTAACAACATTATGCTCAAATTGAAAAACAGGTCGTAGCCGTCTGTTTTGGATGTAAAAAATTTCATGAGTACATTTATGGCAAAGACATCATCATTGAAACAGATCACAAACCATTAGAAGCAATAGCAAAAAAGCCATTACAGTCTGCTCCGACACGACTACAGAGGATGCTTTTTTTTAAGGTTCCAGTATTCACCTAAGATCATTTACAAATAAGGTAAGGATATAACCATTTCAGATTCTCTTAATCGCGACTGTATCAATGATCCTTTGGATAGAAAGGCGGTCGAATCTTTTGAAGTTGTTCTAGATTTTCCTCTCCCATTGATAAGTTTTTCAGACTTTTTGGTAGCTGTCAATAACGATGAAGAGTTACAAAAACTAAAACGTTTAATCCTCGAGGGTTGGACCACAACAAAGAAGTTCTTTAGCGTTTGTAGAAGAATAATAGAGAAGAGCAAATAGTAAACGAAGATCTGCTATTCAAGACAGAACGTTTAATAGTTCCTAGTATTTTAAAGCCCAAATATTTAAAATTAATCCACCGAGGTCATCTAGGAGTTAATCTGTCGCTACATCGCGCCAGAGAGATTTTATTTTGTCATGGAATGACTCTTGACATTGAAGATTACGTACAAAGATGTCCAATTTGCCAGCAAACAGCGCAAGTTTCGAATACAGAATCGTTAATAATGAAACCGGTTTCTCGATTTCCTTGGCAAAGAGTAGCCACAGATCTATTTGAATATTATGGGGAACAGTATTGTCTTATTGTCGAATGTTACTCAAAATACTGTATTTTGATTTAAAAAAGTATTCGATTATCCGACTTCTCAGGAAGTAATCACTTATTTGAAGGATTGTTTCGAAAATCCTTCAAATAATGTTTCGTACTGGAATCGGATAATGGTCCACAATATTCGTCAGAAGCATTCCACAACTTTACAAAAAATTGAAAAATTTAATATATCACGTCAAGCCCGCATTATCCGAAATCGAATGGACTAGCTGAACGCTATGTGCAAATAGCAAAGTTAATCTTGAGACGTTGTGTTATGGAACATACGGATATACAACTGACACTTTTGAACTGGAGGAATACTCCTCGAAGGTACTTTTCCTCTCCTGCCCAACGTCTTTTTGGACGACATACTCGTGGATTAATACCGTTGCATCCATTGTCATGGTTGCCTAGAAAATCATCTTCTACATCTCTTCAAGTAATCGGAGAAAAGCAACGTGTGGAGCCACTACTTCTCCAAGAAATAAATCAGCATAAAAGGCCAATCAGTTAGACTGAGGACTACACCTAGAAATTTGATTCCAGCTACAACATATAGCACTATGGAGATCTTGCGTTCTTATATAATTAGAACTGGTGACAACGGAACCCTTCTTCACAATGCTGAAGTGCTACGACCACCCTCAGCAAGGATACCACCCAAACGCCTGATAGCAATTAGACCTCCTAAGTCTTCACCGCAGTCAGTGAAGACTTAGGAACTCGGAACCTCAAGACGTATTTCAGTTTCTGGATCTGACAGCATCCAGTGATGTCAATGACTAAAAAATACCCCATTCATACTCTAAAGGAGTACTCGGGAGAATAAGTCGTCCTCCGGGAATGAATGAATTTATAAATGGACATTCTTTTTGTCTTTATTTTCTTTTCTGTTTATCAGTTATTATCTTTTTTGTTGTAAAAGAAGATGTCAAGTGTAAATCAATTTATGTTTATTATCCTTAATTATAGGTTTAATTTATTCTTACACGTTTTAACTAAATAATCCTAGATTTATAGGTATAGTATTTCGTTCAGCAATTACAATATCCAAAGGTTAAAACGTACAATTTATTCAGTTCTTCTACATATGCATTTCGGGTCGTCGTGAACTCTCAACCCCTCTTACAAATTTTATAGTACTGAAGAGGGGTTGAGAGTTCAATATGACCCGAAATGCATATATAGAAGAACTGAATAAATTGTATTTCTTAATCTTAGGATATTGTACTTGCTGAACGGAATACTATACATATAAATCAGTGGCGTGCCGTGACATTTGATGATAGGGAAGCTGTATTTCGACTTCCAAGGGCAATCACTTAATTGCGCGTTAGTGATGGTCTACGGTTCATTCGTACGTGCGTGGTGGCGGAGGAGACAAAGACGACAAATATCTGACAAATTAGGACAATCAGCTGTTCGGACATCCTGGGCGTCGATGTGGTTCTTTGATCATCGATCGAAGGTGGCCCCGGGACAGCGGCCAACTTCTGTAAGACACAGGAAGACTTCGTCTGTTGGCGTCGGGACACGGTCTAAGTCCAAAGTGGGTCACAGGTTGGCACAGTAGACGAGAAACTCCTTTTTTTGCGCGTTGACACACGCGTTTTGGTTATTTGGAACGTTAACCGAGTGCGAGGTGTCCTTGATTGTCGGGGATTATATCAATCTCCGCTCTTTCTTTCGTCCATTTTGATTGGTCGTTCTCCCTCAATTACGTTTCCCGAGTGGCTGGTTCCTCGTTACTAAGCGTAACGAGACTCCTACCTGGAGCGCGAGAAACGTCAAAATCAAAGATTCGATCTTCCACCGATCATAAGATGACTTCCTTCTGCGATTTATAATTTCTGGTCGCAGTTTGATATAAACAATAGATGTCCGATTATAAATGAGTTTTCCTATGTTTTTAAACTAATAAATTTTTCTGTAAATTACCGTTTTTTCGCGTATTTCGTGACGATTCGGACCTGTCTGGAACCTCACATTTCCATAAAAATGTTAAACAAATAATGGAAATGACAAAAATAAACAATTTATGTATTTTAGTTCTAAAATACAAATAATACATACATAATACAAATTGATATGATACAAACAATGATAGAAAACTAACTCTATTCGGCGATTATTTTTCCACAAAGTCGTTAATTACTTTATTATAAAAGTCGCTGGTCGTCGACTCCATCAACATATTTAAAAGCTCTTTTTCTATCCAAGCAACGCTAGCGACGACAACTTTTCCTCCGACCGAGTGTTCCTGTGGTTGAAAAACTGAGCTCAACAGACGTACTGGTAGATGGTACCATAAAAATTAATATTAAATTATATAATTCTTTTAGTACATCTTTGTTCGGATCGTCATTAATTATAATACTTTTTATGTCTAAGAGTTACTTGTCAATATAGTCTGGACACTAATATAAAAATTGCGATTCACTACGTAATTTAAATAATTCAAAAAATTTTCCATAAAATCTAAAGTAATATTGAAATTCAGAGCCCTCTAATAATGAAAGTGAAACTCAAAGACAAATTTTGCCATCATTTTTACAAGATTGGATTAATTTGAACTACTGTATTTAATATTTTATGTAGCAGTAGAGTAATTCCGGGATAGATATGGCCATTCGGGAAAGAGTGCCAATCGCTGTAAATCCGAAAATGGAAGTTATAGATCCGAGGTGCACTCGTCAGTGGGAGCGAGAATTGTACTGAAATGGTGTATGGTATAACGTGTCTCGAGAAATCTTACTGTTAAGGAAAGAATAAATATTTTGTTTTGCCATATAGTAAATATTTTACCTGGCACTTACAAAGGTTACAAAGTACTACTTATAACGAAACAAAAATCGATGAAAACTTTCATCCATACGTTCAGGTATACCTGGATGTATACCTGAACGTATACATCCAGGTACGGCTTTACGTAAATCACTGTGTTGTCTGGATGTGACTTTGAATCATATTCGTAGAAGACGATAAGCGTCTACGAATACAAGCTCCATATAAACTGAGAGAGTTGTCCACGCCACTGCTATTCGCTACATTTCGTAAATTAATACTGAAATGAGTAGTAACTGATTGTAATATTAACAAATACATAAGAAAACCGAATAGTTCCTGAGACATTTGGCGTTAAAAATTTTTAAGTACCATAATCGATACCATCACTCGTACTGTCTGTACGAATGATGGTATCGACTTTTCTTACTTTACACCTACTACTCATATTTCTGTTATAATTTCAAGAAATTGGAAACTGATCACTTAGTCATTAAAAATTAATTCTAGTTCAAGGCAAAAAAGATAGAGAAACTGTTAAAAGTAAAGTCAGAAACGTAACATTAAATACAATAACTTCCACTATAAAAAGTGAAATGTAAATACAAACGTGTCCACACTTAACAGAGCATCAGATAAGAGAGGCGGCTCACTTAAGAAAACATTCTCCCATGTACTGTACCTGATTTGTCCCCCTTATGTTTTACATTGCCCACACTGATATTAATAGAGCAGCAGATAGCATAGTAGTCAGTTTAAACGACCGTCTGTCGGTTCCATTTTTGTACCAGAAATCTGCATAAGGGAATATTATTCTAAAAAGATTTATAAGAATCTATCTTTTTTCTTACGGTATATCACCGCCTAAGGCCATAAGACTTTATACGCTTTGATATTTGTTTAGATTTTTCACTAATTAGTTTTCTAACCAGTCAAAAGATTTCCTACAAAATCATAATAAACAGATTTTATTGGACATACACGCGGGAAGAAATTACATATTAAAAACGTACTATAAAATATGTATGAGCAAGTAGTCATCTGGAAGCTATCAGATTTCGGAGGTCTCGTGGCATTACTTTAAAGGGAAACCGTACGTATTTGTTTTTATATTGCATGTTCCATTAGAGAACATCCAGAAATTTTGGAACAAGGATGCTTACATCTTTTAAATAGACCTCCTATTGTATTTCTTAAAAGAAATGAAAGTAATGAGACTGGTAAGTATACTGTATCTAATGATTATTCATAGAATAATACATATTGATTTTCGTTCTTATCAATGTTAACTACAATAAAATTATGTGCTAATGAATTTTAACGTTCCCGAATGTGTTATAAAGATCTCCCAAGATGCAAAACAGTGAAAAGAATAGAATAACGTTAACAATCCCCTGAGCCATCTTGTTACTTCGGATAAGCGCTATAAGTCGAGTCTGCTCAATCGACTTATAGCGCTTAGCATATGGTTTAAAGGCGAATTAGAGGAGCTAGCTCGTTGCAAGTGGATTGTAATTTCAATAATATTTTAGACTGTACTTTAAAATATAACGTTTATGTTATATTCTAAAGTACAAAGTATATTGAAGCGAATGAAATTGCAGGATAATGTGAATTAAATTAGGAATTTCAAAATTAATCAAAAAATAAATTTGAAAAATTTTATGAAATCGAATTAGTTGTACGATATAACTCAATTTCGATAATAAAAGTGTTACGTTACACACACACACAAAAAAAAATTATTATTGGCTTTTTCTCCTGTATCATAAATGCTTGTGATATTGTAGTGTTGGATACTTATTTTATTTCTTAAATTTTATCGATATTTTTATTACTTGTTAGACTGTTTAGGAGTTTCTTTTATTACTTTTGAAACCGATTATTTGCCCGTTTTCTTATTTTGTGACATTTGTAAAACATTGTAATCTGACTTATCTTAGATTTTTAATTTTAGTGATTAGGATCGTTAAATGTTTTTCTTTGCTTTAAAAAATGAATATTATACTTGCGGTTATCAAAATAAAGTCACGGTCATACAAATGCCAGCGAGCAATGTAACGACGTCGAATAAAGGCATTTCTTGTATTCAAGTTTCTCGGTCTCGCTGACTATTATTACTGTATTTGGTGGAATCATTTTCTCCAAATTATGAATTGATACAAAAATTAGTGCCACAGCATTTTAAAGCCACTAAGATTATGATAGAGAGAAGACATTGATCTGATTCCGCTAAATAATAGTAGTTTTCTAAATATGCTATCCATTACATTGTTTTTAATTTACTGTTAACTTATTCTAGATGTATCCTTTTTTGCCATAATATTATTATTAGGGTGTAGAGCATAGTCAAGAGCGTAGGATGAAAAAAAAAGGAAGAGAGTGAGAGGAGGAGAAAGAAAGACGATAAGTCATCCTCATTCTTATCCTAAGATAGCTAGAGAAAGTGGTAAAGCATAAAAATACTTGTTGAGCTGCAATTTGAAAAAATTGTAGACCTATAAATTTACGCTGTCGTCTGTTTGTCTGTCCGTCCATCTTTCTTTAATCTGGAAACGGAGTTAGATAGACGAAATTCGAGACAATATGTAGAAATATTAGGAGCTTGGAGGTCTCGATTAACTGTATATGAACTTATGAAGTCATTTTATTTCAATTCGAAAAGTTTCCTCTTAACAAATGACCGGCATGACTCCATTGCTAAAAGAAAAGTATGATGTACAGGTGCAAGACATTTTTAAATGCATAAAAGAGCAATAAATTTTCTTTTTGAATATAGTATTATCAAGATTCTTGTTATAGAGATGTTATCTTATCAGTTTACTCAGCTTACATAATTGATAAAAAATTTTCCTTTTTAAAATTCATTCGGCAGTAAAATGTTTATCAAAAACAGATAAACTTTTTAACAGATTGGAAAGTTCTTTTTTTATAAAATCAATAAACATAAAAATATAATTGGAATTTTTTTCGAAATTCTCATCAATTATTAACTCTCCCCCAGATTTTTACATTTTTGGATTTAGGACACCTTGAAACGTTGAGAAATGCAAAAAAGTTAGGGGGTAATTTCCATATGTGTGGATATTAGTGTGTGCACGATTTTGTTTACCCTTTGAAGCTTAATAACTCCTGTGCTTTTTGTCGAAAATTTCTGAAATTTTGCAGGGAGGTTTGTGTATTAGCGCGGTTGATGCTGTTAAATTTTGGTGGTTAAACGTCGACGGGGTGAGGAGATAATGAGGGTCGGACTTAATGACGATTTTAATCGTTATTAGCATTTACAAGTTTTTATAAAACCCATCCCTACTCTCAAAATTAAGTTTTTTTGCCATTTTATATTAGTTAAAAATAAAAAAAACTTTTAAAAATAATACATAACAGATGACGCCACCAAAATTTTAAATTAACATATGCATTTCTAATATGATAAATACTATAATTCTACGTATAATTACTTTTATGGATAGATTAAAATTGCACGATTGAAAGAAGAAATAATACTAAATATTTTTTTTATTAATCTATATTTAGTATGTTTTAATAAAATGCGAGAAATAATAATTCTAATTAAGCAGCAAATCATTCATTATAATTAAATCAGTGTAATGATGTTGTAATTAATAATATACTTTAAGAAACAAAGAGTAAATTGCTATATTTAAAACTAATACACATGTAAAAATAAAATATATTTCGGTAGTAATTAATTTCAAATATTGCAATTAAATCATTCTATTTTGTCATTCTATTCTATTCTGGAATAATTCGGAATATTTCTATCTGGTTTTCGCCTTAAGTCATCAAAATTTCCTCTGTTTTCGTGCAGTTAATACTATTTTTAACTGTCCATCGATCTATTTTTATTTATGATTTTAACTATTATAAATCTTGTTGTGAGAGATACGAGCTTTAAAATGTTGTGGCTTTTATTTTCTTCCTAGTTTATGATTCTTTTGTTTGTATCTTAAAAACTTTTACTATATTAATACGAGTTTAAATCACACACATAACAGCATTACTTTTGTACAAACTGTTTTTCTTAATAAACTCTCAATACATATATATGAAAATTCTTTTTAAGTTATCATTTCATTAAAAAATTAATTCATCTGCCTCTTATTTATAAAATTAAAAAGATTTTTTTGAGAAAATAATTATATTCTTTTATTAACAAATAAATCTTTTCATTTGTTACTAAAAATAAAAATAATTTTAATATTAGCTTAAAAATTTACATAATTAATTATAAAATTAGGCAGAGATTTTATATACACTTAGTATATCATAAAAACAACGAAAAATCACACTCGAATTATTGATTTGTAGTTCATTTCCCAATAAAAAAAAAAGTCTCAAAGACTAACAATTCGTCGTCAGACACTAGTCAGATGGAATGTAATGTGTTTAGCTATAGGTATTACTGCAAACGACAGAAGCTAAAGCTTGCAGATTCGAGACGAGCCATTAAAAACGATGCTAAGTGAACATGTTGGTGACATTAAGTGTGATGACTAAATACAACATTAATGTGCAAAGCATTGTTAAAATTTCGAAATAGATTTTGTAGTAGTATCGATTTTTACCGAATTACGACATATTCTATATGAAAGAAAAAAAGTTTAATTTATGAAAAAAAAAAGGAAAAAGATTTTATTAACATGAAAAATATATGTAGCTAGAGAGGTTGGGGCCGAAGTTTTCATCTCTCAAACGTGAACGTCGAACGTCGAGCATCGCTTACAAGATTGCGGAGCTCGACGTTCGGCGTTCACGTTTGAGAGATGAAAACTTCGGCCGCAACCTCTCTATTTTCTCTAAATACAATAAACAAAAATACCGAATTAATTTAATATAGCGCATTAATTAATAAATTATTAACTAAATAATTAAAATATTACGTATTCTGGTAAATTTAATATGAAAATATAATCTAATTCATGTTTTTTTTAAAGAATAATTTTAAAGTTTGATTAACAAATTAAATCCTAATTATGTTATTTATCTATCAAAACTATCTATATCAAAAGATAGAAAATAATAGATATAGAAAATAATTATATTATTCATCTATCTATTAAACGTTTATGAATATGTAATAATTACAGAAAATTATTTTAAATGAAATTAAATCTGCTTGACTTTTCCTGAACTGTTACTTTGCAATTATACAACTTCTTTTTTTTATATCAGTGTTGATGAGATAACGATGATATATCGACGGCATAATTGCTACTGTAACGATGTAATTGTGACAACACAATAACAGCTAATGATGCGCACCCTTCAGCTGTTTAGCAAAATGGTCATGATTTTTATCTGTTGTACGCTTTAAATGACATATTTATTGTATTATTTGCTTTTTTAATTAATTAATTCGCATTTTTCTTCGCTTTCATTATAATTACTGTATACATAAAAACCTAGATTTGGTTCTTATAATTAAATTTCTTTTTTAACAATTATTTTTAATGGGTCTAAACAAAAGTATAATAAAAAAATTGAAATTAGTAAATTACATTAAATAATAAATTTACAAAAAGCTTTTAAGTAAATTGATATTCGTTATGCAAGTTACATAATTTACTATTGAATACATTCGATATAATATATTTATCATAAGAAATAATGTACTATACATATAACAGTTACATAAAATAAAGCTATTTAATTATTAATTTTATACATAGTTATTATAATGTTTTTCAGATAAATGAATATAGTCTACATGTTTAATTTAATCATTTCTTAATTTATAAATAAGAAAACTTGAGTTAATTTCATAGTTTACATTGACCAGAATTTCATTTTGATTATGATTAAAGCTATTTATATAAAATATTTCTTATTATATTTTTAATGATTAATATATATATAAATATAAAGCAAAATAAATAATGAAATTTTCTTCTTATTTTAACTTATTTATACGATTTTTTAGTGCTTAGAAGTCATAGCCTCAATTATTATATACGTGTTTATATATGTATAAATTTTAATGTACACATTTAATTTTCTTTTATAATAAATTTAAGTTGGCAAATATTTAAAATATAATTAGAACTTTTTATTTTTAAATTAAGTTTTTAAAATAAAAATTGTAAAGAGTAGAAATTTACTAATAAATATATGTGTCAACGGAAGATGTTTCGAGTCGATCGACTTTCAGGAAATGCATCAATCGATTTTAAGAAGATTCTTACTTCTTAAGTGCAAATTTTCAGTTCTCATTTTGTTCAGAAAAAAATTGCCATTTAGAAAATTAAAGGTCCTTTATGAAGAAGAAAAATTAGAAATAGAGAAAAACATATGTTTAAAGTCATGATTTTAATCGATATTTTCTAAATCGATAAGTAAATTTTCAACCAGTAAATTGTTATTTTAAAATTAGAACACTCAATACTATTTAAAAATAAATTTATTTGTTAAAATATAAAAGTATATTATGTAAAAGTTTAATTTTTATTATTTGAAGAAATTTCTCTGTTGTTTTTAATTTGAATGTCATTTTATAAGAAGTTAAAAATCCTTAAAATACCAAAAAATTTTATGAACTTTTATATGAAAAATTATCGTTCTTTTTAATTCAGATTATAAAATATAACATTGTAGAAACTTAACCTATAATTTAATATAAAAGCAAACTTTATTTACTTTTAGAATAAGATTATTTTAAAAATTTTATATTAAAATATCGATTGTCAGAGAGTTAATGCCTCGAACTTAGCACGAAAGATACTTTCTTATTATACTCATTTTTCTCTTTTAATTTATTTTTTTTTCACATTTTATAATAGATGAAACATAACTTGCACTTCTAGAATAAAACATAAATATGTAACAATTAAACTTTTTCAGTAAAGTTTTGAAAGATGTACATATACATCTTATTTACTTAAATTATAGGGTGCTTCAAACACGTTAATACATACAGAAAATCGTTTCTAACGAGAAAAAAATGGCAGTATAATGTAACAATAATAAATGTTTCTTCACAGTTTTAGAGTCAATTATTAACACCATTTTATTAATATCTAAGAGGGTAATTTTGTACACAAAGACGATCCGTTGTTAGTAGATTTTCATGATATTTTGTTTAACCTACTTCAGCCAGAAGCTTTAGCACACTGTACGATTTCACAATACAGTAGGGCCATGTATCTCTAATAAACAATTGTTCATAGAACTAAGATATTTTTGAAACAACTTATATATTTCAGAATATATTTTGGAACATCTCTTTATATTCAAATGCTATTGAATTTAATACGCTTCTCCGAAATTGCTTGACCGAACTCGACAAAATGAAGTCTAGATCGATGAATGTCATAATCTATTTTTTTTTCAATCCTGAGTGGATAGTGTCTTCGAGGAATATCACGAGAAAACTCTGCCATAGGTTTAAGCTGGGATTTTGGGTGTTCAACTCAATTTATAGGCTTTGTAAGCAACGAATGCGATCTTGTTTTATTTATTAATTTGCTTCGTTAGGTTTCTCCTTGCAAAAGCAATTCTAAAAATCTTGTTCTATATAAGAAATAAATTATTATTTTAAAGAAAACAAATTTAAAATGAAGCAATTTTTATACAGTAATAGTAATATCAATAATTTTATTTTAGATAATTATAAAAATTATTATTTTAATCTTTTACTATTATTCTAAGTTCTTAATTAATAGACGTGTGTTTATTATTAATTAATTAATTCAATACGTTAAGACGAACTTTGTGTTTTCTTAAGTAAACATTAGCAAACTTTCTGATTGATTTATTTGTCATAAGTTGATTGTGGTTAGAAAAATGATTCAATAAATTGATTATGTACATACCAATGAGAAAAGAAAACAACATATAAATACATATATAAATCAACAATAACTTCTATTCGAAAGAGAAAAATCCATTTTTATTTATTTATTTATTCTTTCTTTGCATTAAAATACGAAAAAAGTTTAGAATAAATTTAAACTTTAATGATGAATTAAAAGAATTTAAATTAAAATTTTTTATTTTTTTTTTACATTTAAAACTTTTTAGTCTGATAAAGAAGATATAAATATGGATTTCTTCATTAATATTTAGTAAAAGCTTCAAATTTTTGAATATTTTATTCGAAGTAAATGAAGAAAATTCTAATTTCATGTCAGAATTAATAAAATATAATAAAAATCAAGACTTTTAAAAATAAAATTAAAACCTTTTATATAGCTTATACAAAAAAATAGTTAACATATTTTACAGAACGTTTCAGATTCAATATTTTTCAGATAAAAAGCAATTTTTCAATAAAATTTCTACGTTAATGTTTTGACTTAATGAATTATTTAGAATTGTAAAAAATAAACGTACTTTTGGTTTCAAATTTCTTAATTGTGCATTATTTATAATGCGTGTTTACGTTATACAGAATTTCCTTTGGTTTAATACAGGGTGTCCCTATAATCTGGATACATAGGCAAAAATACATATTTTCAAGAAATGAATTTTATTAACATCTTATTCAATTGGAGTATTAAATAATGTCTTCAAGATGATTTCCATCATTTTCAGAAAAAGAAATCGAGGACGCTAAGGTCAGGTGAACGAGGAGACCACTCCACATGACCACTTCTCACTACTGTAAGGTCTCGTTTTATGCAGTGGATACGTTCTACAGAAAAGCGCATATAAAAAATTCGCATAAAAAAAGACTTTACTTGCCTTGAAAAAGTAGGGATACGTTCCGTAATTTTCTAAAATCGCATAAAACTAAAACAACGAGTTAAAATTAACTTAAAACCGCATAAAAAAGTTTG